GAAGATTGCACGACTGTCTGTGTCCTATGTGTTGTGTTGTGTTATTTTTGTTATTTTGACTTCAAGATGGCGCCGCGTGAGTGGCTGCCTTTCCAGCAGCTCCTATATTTTGTTGTTCTACTTCTTCCATTCATAACTTTGCTGCTGTGAATTGGGAATTTCTCCATTGCGAGACTAATAAAGGTTTTCTTATCTTATCTTATCTTAAAAGTGGGGGTCGTCTTATATTCGGGGTCTAGACGTTATAACCATTCACGACGCTAGATGGTGCTACATATCATTGAAGCGAATGCTGAACTTGACTCCCCAGGCCAAAGCGAACCCCTGTCACGAAGAAGAAAAATAAAAAATAGCGGTAAGAAAGAAAAGAAAAGAAAATAATAGAAGAGATAACAGAAAATGGAGAAACGTAGTGACAATCTGGAGAAAAGTGGGCCGAAGATCGGCCAGGTTAACCGGCAGCTGAGGAGAAGTTATGATGTAATTTACATTTCAAAAACCAGAAGCCATTCAGTTACAAATGTGATTGCACTTTAGTTTACATATTTAAATGTTCAGATATTAAGATTTGAATGAGGCAAAATAACATGCTTTTTCTCTCAAATATATTGTTAAAATCATTTGTTTCAGATGTACTGTCATTATTTTCTCTATAAAAATTTATTTGGTGTTCAAAAAGTCTTTTTTCAAACTTGAGTCTTGAAAAAGAGGGGGTCGTCTTATAATCAGGGCCGTCTTATATTCGGGCCAATACGGTAATATGGGTGCACAAGCGTGCACGCCTCATAATGGGGCCTGTGGCTGTTCAGAATTAATCAATCACATTGAAACCCATGTTAAATGGGAGTCGGCACACACCTGCCACCATTTAAAGTGCCTGAGTAACCCCAAATAACATTAAAATATTATTTTTCCCGATTAAACACAATCCATTTTATGAAATAAAATATTTGGTTTTATTAACCCTTTCATGCACCCTGTCCCAGGTCACATGATAAATGTCCACTGTAGTAACCGCTGTCCCTGAAAGGGTAAAAGAAAAGGCATCATGTTAAGTTTAAATTAATAAATAGGAACATTCTTTTTTAATTCTTCTTAGTAAGTCGCAGTGTCTCATCGCCGGTGAGCTAATTTTATAACAGACCGGCAGGCTACAGGTTTTGCCCTTGCGAGCTACTCCCCGCTGGCACCGTGTGTTGTTGTTGTTGGGGTTTTTTTTCTCTGGACAACGCACATTGACCGAGCAAAAAAAAAAAAAAAAAAAAAAAAAAGCATCGGTCACAGCTGCTCTGACGTCTCCCTCCGTCCTTCCTCTTCCTGTAACTTACTTCCCCTCTCGAAAAGAGTTAATTTCCTTTTCAAATCGAGTACAACAAGTTATAGGTCATGTTTAGGCTGGAAAAAAAGGCTTGAAATGATTTTTTGTTTTGTCGTCACAAGAACCCAACATTTCAAATGGAGTGTGTGGACTTTTCATATCCGTGTTAGTTAAGTTAATCCTTGACCCTTGTGATTGTATCTTCTCAGGTGATAAAGTACAAGCTGTGTGGCTGCTCTGATAAAAAGCACAAACACGACAACAATGATCAGGGTACTGTGCTCAGCCTTGATGACGTCAAGTGTCACGTCAGTAACTTCCATTAGGTGTCCACAGTTTCGGAAAGCCTCCAGGGACTTTGTTCACTTTTTGTAAGCCAACAGGAAAAAGTATCTCAACGGTGCCTGAACTTTGGGGCAGAAGCCAAGAAAATGACATGCTCAGATGGCAGAAGTGCAGCGATGAACACAAGTGACTTTGAAACATCAACATGAACAAAATTGAAGTTCCCACGTGTTCCATTTATCAACATTAAAAAAAGATGTTGGTTTGTTGTTAGTGTAAAATAATGAATAGCGAAGATTTTTAAGTCATTCATACTTGCATGTAACTTGTATCGACTTTTCAACAACTTGCCATTTTTAATTCTCATGCCATCCAAGACCGTATTTGGACGATCTTCCCCTGTGAAGCTCCAGAAAACATCTCAACACTGTACAGCATTCTTCCGGTATTCTACCTGATTGGTCAGGGTAACTGCAAGTACACGTGCAAGTAACTGAGCGGCGATGTTTCGAGTACACTATTTAAAATGATACAAATGGCCACAACCAAATCCTACATTGCCGCCACCTTACCTCTCTGAGCTCATCCGCCCCTACACACCTGCGCCTCAGGTCTGCGGACCAGACATTATTAGAAGTACCAAGAACTAAACTGAGGCTCAGAGGGGATCGAGCCTTTTCTGTTGCTGGTCCCTCTCTCTGGAATGACCTCCCACTGAACATTCGGCAAGCCTCCTCGCTGCCCATCTTCAAAACCCACCTCAAAACTCACTTGTATTCTTTGGCATTTGACTCAGCATGACTTAGATTTGTTCTTGGTTTTGCTGTTCGGTGCTTTCTACCGTCTTTATTATCGATTTTCTTCACTGTTTGTTGTATATGTTAATTTGCTCCATGTACAGCACTTTGTATGCAGCGATGGCTGTTTGAAAGTGCTCTATAAATACAGTTGAGTTGAGTTGAGTTGAGATTGACATTTGCAGAGCACCAGTTGTGCACATTCAGAGTGAAAGAAGCTATTTCATGCTCTTGCTGAAACCTGTGATTTACGTCCAGTGGCGGCTCAAAATATCCGCGCTAAAAGAACCACCAGCAACACGACGTCTGGTCTTGAATTTCCCCCGCCTAACAATCTCTGTTGAGAATACTTAAATTTGACTGCGGATGTCAGGTGTCTATCTTTTGGAACTGACGTGTTCCCGCGAGAATAAAAAAGCTGAACCATCTCGGGCTCAAGTCAAGTGTAGCACTGTGCAGCACTTTCAAATACAAAGAGTTAAAATGCAGATGAGGTTGCATTAGCATGCCCGTATGTTTCCGATGTTGGAAGAAAACACGTTTCCAGCAGTGCCTGCTTGAAAAATTGTCTCTTGCGACATTCCATGACATATTATTTAGAAGGGATATTTTCAGTCATCCCCATTGCGCTCCGTGCGAAGGTCCAAGAGCTCTACCATCAGTTGACATTGAAACAAAAGATATAAATATTGCAGTTATTATGGATCATAACAGAATTGTACACACACTGCTTAAATGGCATATTCCTGGACTGGGTTTGCTATGCGCCTCTGTTTTCTGTTTGATGGCATTAGTAAAGATGAAAATTCAACTTTTCTTTTTAGTTTTGTGATTGTAGTCAGAGCTTCTTATATTGTAGCAAGACTGCGTTTTGCAGTGCATGAAATCTTTCGCGTCATCACTGTCCAAAGAAAAGTATTATTCTCCAGATGGCATGTTTTTTTTTTAATCTGACACACAGTTTATTTGCTTTTCCGACTACGAATACTGTATATAACTCACACAACTTGGAGATACATGCTTTCATTGGACAGGGTGTGGTTTTTTTTTGTATTTATTTTTTTTTGGGTTAAGGCTTTCCTATTGTTCTTATGATGTCATTGAGGTAGTTTCATTAAAGTTCAAGTCCCAAGATGGTATTCAATGCTGTCTTCCATGTCTTTATTTGTTTCTGACAAACTTTGGTTGCACTTCCTGCTCAACTTGCTCCGTTCCTCCACTGAGTTTTAATCCATTCTTTAATAAAAAAAATAAATACATATCAACAGAGCGGTTCCAGAGAGGGAATTTGTTTTTCTGAAGTTGAACAGAAGTCCCTTTGTACAAAATGTTCAACTCATAGATGGATGGATGGATTTACACTCACTCAGAGCTCCCAGCAGTTCCTGCAGTCCTTCAAATAGTGCCACCATGGGAACGAGTAGTCTGGCATACAAATTCCATTTCTGTATGCATATCCAAATGAACGCGAGTCCTTTTTATTACTCACAAATGTACCTTTCATATTGAGTTGAAGTGAGACTCAAATGTCATTCTTCTAAACTGAGTGCCAAATTTATTTTTAAAGCCCACAGAACACCAGACTGCTGAATCAGTGCTTAACAGTTCCTCCATGAGTCTCTGGTCTCTTGTTCACATCTTACCCAACAAGGTCCTCTTTTATCCGACGTCTGCAACACTGATGTTTGAGGGGTACATCTTGTGACTTTTAATGTGCTGGTTGCATTTAAGGTTAGGTAAGAGTAGACAAAGACAAACTAATGCACACAACTGCAAAGCACTTTATCTGATAAGAGAATAAACATCATCATTTAATGTTATTCATTTCCTAAGCATAAAACTAGAATTCTGTCATAAATACAGCGCACGTGATCAAACTTAGTCATGGAATCAGTCTCACGGATGCGCAGTCGCCACAATGGCGTCTCTTGAAAATAGTGGTCAAGTGTAACTGGTAATGTCCGACTGCGTTGTGTTTAAGTATATTGACGATGCACAACAGACTTCTTGAATTGGCTGCGATTAATCGTGTAAATCACAAAGCCTGACAAAAATAGCAGAAAACAATGTCCTCCTATCAATTAGAGTGATACAGTATGCCCCTACGAGATTTATATGGCACAGCAATGTATTAAAATACTTCAACTTATAAATGAAAACAAAAGTTGTTTTCCAGATCGAAAAATGCTTACCGCTCCATGCACATCAAGAGAAAAAGAAGAGAGTCAAAGGTGAGAGTTGTACATAAAAGAGGCAGTGCCACCTTAATTATTGAAGTTGGAGAACACAAACATTTTTGTTCCACCCTTTGATAGTAAAAGGACACGTCAGATATTTATCATTTCACAGATGTTGTGTAATTATAATACAGTAGAGTAAATTTTTACTGGCCCGGCTACACAAGTATTATTGAAATGGTGTCAGTTTAGTAAACAGCATGAAACAGAATGAAGGGATTGGTCATACAATAAATGAATTAAATAGGCAGAGAAAATCCATCTGAGCTTCAGTCAATGTTTAACTACCCATTATCTGCTTGACCCTAAAGGGCTATTGTTTGCTTGGGTTGTGATTAACCTTAGCAAATAGTTGTTGGAAATAAAGCCAAAAAAATACAATGCGTTTCCTCCAATGGTTTAAGTACACGAGTAAAATTCAAGATTTCTGTGCTATAAAAAAATGTTTACACACCCCTGTGTCAGGCCGGGTTTTTCCACCATTAATGTTACATACAACCTGTACAACTCAATTGAATTATATAAAGATGTACTGTATTAGTGTCCCCACGACCCTAGTGTGGATAAAGCGGTTTGGAAAATGAATGAATGAATGTATTCGTGTCCCTGCAAGACAATACATCTTTGTTTCTGTAGCGCTTTCACAGCAGCTGCAGTTGTAACAAAGCAAATACAAAATATCTCGGATGAAAATTTGCTGCTGACCAGCATTATAATTTGAGTTTGTATTAGTTAACCACAAGTGTGGGGGGGGGGGGGCATTATGACTCTGAACCCACATAAATGTATGATCGCATCATATTATCACAGAAGCACAACAGAAGCCAAAAAAATATATCCAACAATTTTTCAATTTATTTAAAACTGGGGATTGGGAAGAAAAAAATGCTTGCCATACCTAAATGTTATGAATGGTGAGGACAATTTGCAGTTTTGTTATCTTAACAAGAAACACACCTGAATTTGCCTTTGCAGCCCATTTAAATGCTATGGTGGGCCCCCGGACCTTGAATTTGACAGTGACATAATCAGTTTTTAAAAACGGCATAAAAAAAGGAAACACGCTCCCAGATATTTATCATTATGCAGCTATTGTACTCATACCTGGCCACGAATTAGACCTTTGAGTTTCTTAATTCTCCAACATTTTCATGACGACTGAGTGATTGTGACAAGCACAGTACGATTTCCGGTAATAAGGATAAGTGAGTTGAGGTGTGAAGGAGACATTTCCCCGAGTTCCTTGGAACTCACTAACCCCATATCGGCTCGATGAATGAGTGACCGAGCGGGGTTGGAGCGTCGATTGCAATGGGCGGGCCGGAGTCTCCCCTAGCGTGGGCCAATAACACGACAGGCTCGGCGTCCACATCGGCACATTTGGCAGGCAGCAGCTGCTTGAACGTTGCGTAACCTCATCAAGAGTTCACTCACCCACCCATCGATTCGCATTTTCACCATGGCAGCCGCGAAGAAAGTCTGCATCATCGGATCTGGAAATTGGCAAGTAGTAGCAGCAGCAGCAGCAACGCTCCAAGGTGCACAGAGCGAGGGAGGCAGGCAGGGTGCTGGATAGGGCTGATGTTGAAAACGCGTGGCCATCTCTCCGGTGTTCTCCGGTGCTACTTATGCTAGTCAAATTAGCATTATCGACTGGCAAACGGCTAGCTAACTGGCTGCTTTTCGCAGAGCACTTGCTTCGCTGAGCTCTCGATGCTACTTCAGCATTCAAATGGCTCTGTCGTCCTTTTGGGGGTACACCCCCAAAAGGAGTGCACGAGCTCAACGGCTGTCATCCGCTTTCGGTTATATTTAACACGCCGTGGTTTTGAGTTTGTGCGTCATGTTTCGGCATCTGACGCTCACTGCTGTATAACGTCATACGTCACGGCCCGTTCATACAGTCATACATGATCAAATACATTATACATTTCACACAAATTACGTGTAAGAACTCAATAAAATATTCATATATGCAATGGAGGCGTTATTTTAATGCGATGTTATGAGGGCGATCACTTTAAAAAATAAAACTTAACGTGGACAATATAGTGACTAAATACTAAATGGGACAACGAGTCAAGGATTTATGCGTTTCCTTTTTTGAATCCAATTAAAAACCCATTATAGCTGGTAGTTCAGCCCCTGAGTCATGGTCTTACAGTAGCATTTCCCCACAATATCTTGAACATGATACATGACATCCGTTTATCGCGTGAGTAGCCTGTGCATGTACTAAAAAAATGGATGGAACTTTGCAATTTTTTGCGTCCCTAAATGTATTTGTGTCCCTAAATGTATTTTTGATACTGATTTTTAAAATGTCCACTTGTTATGTAGCACATCAGTTTTTTTTAGATATTTTCATTTTTCATTTGTAAAAAAAAAAAAAAAAACTTTGAAAGCATTGAAGATTTAACCATGCATTTTAATTTATAACTATGATGTTTAGAATAATTCTACTTGTTGCTGAACCTAACCATTAACTTATAATGAATAAATATCTTAGACATTATGTGATTGTTATATAATTATTATTATGAAAACTTGATATGCTAGAGAAAAAAATGCGGGGAAATTTGGAACCAGTTCAAAAAGTAATCTAGAAAAGTTTACTTGCATCTCTAATTTTAAAAAATGTACAAAAAATTGTTGACCAGTGTAATCAACATTATGAAAAATCAACATGATGAGTATCTACTCGTTACACAGGTGAATATCACCTATGTAATTAAAGGTAATTTGAGTAAATGTATTATTTCAGAAGTGTGTCTCATATTGATCGCCCTCCGTATAAATCGGTGCCTAAGTAGCTCTTAGTTTTAAAAAGGCTGGTCACCCGTACAGTAGCTGAACATTAGATAGATAGATAGATAGATAGAGAATCATTGTTTAAATCCCACTTAATCTTATTAAACCACATTTTTAAGTATTCCTTAGCCTCTTGTGTAATTCTACACTGAAGGCACGCAAAATTTAGACTTGCTTACGTTGTCCACTGTCAGAAGGCACACTGTATGTGTATGTACTGTTTCCATAGCATGCAAAAGAACAGCATAGTTATTGCAATGAAGTTTTTATAAATCTGTATAATTATATGACACAACATGGAGTGTGTCACCACCTTTAAAATGATTCATAGACTCTCAAGTTCTTTTCAACACACACAACCAAGTGCCATCGCATCCTTCACACCAACCGAATTTGAATGTGACTGTAATATATTTTGGGGTCAAGTCCAAAACTAACCAAACATTATGAACAACACAGGGGCTCTGCCATTGCCAAGATAGTGGGTGCCAACGCCGCTCGGAATTCCAAATTTGACAACACGGTAAAAATGTGGGTGTTTGAGGAGTTGGTGCATGGGCGCAAACTGACTGAAATTATCAACACTGACCATGAGAATGTGAAGTACCTTCCTGGGCACAAGCTACCAGCAAATGTGGTAAGCCCATGTTGGTTTGTTGTCATTTACCAAAACGTTTGTGTAATGTCGCTTTGGCCTTTCTGCTATTGCATGCAACGCTTGCTAGTATGCATGTTATACTTCCTATGGATATGATTTCTATATGCCCTTTTATGCTAAGGTCTTATCGGGCTCCGTGTTTGTCCTCGTGGTCCCTCAAAGAATATTATCGCACATCACACATAGAAATGCATCAATGACATTTTCTGACATGCTGCCATTTCTCTTCAGCTGGCAGTTCCAGACCTTCTTTCCATGCTGCCATTTCTCTTCAGCTGGCAGTTCCAGACCTGGTGGAGGCATCCGGTGATGCAGACATTCTGGTGTTTGTCATCCCGCACCAGTTTATTGGCAAAGCCTGCGACACCATGAAGGGCAAGATAAAGAGTGATGCACTGGGCATATCTCTAATCAAGGTTTGATTTTGCGGTATCGTTGCTTCATCTGAAGAAGGCTTCACAGTTGACGTCATGCTCTTAAAGGGCCATGATGTGAATACACAATAACATTTGTATGTGATTGCTTCTTTCTAGGGAGTTGACGAGGGGCCTGATGGACTTAAACTCATTTCTGATGTAATCCAGGAGAAGCTTGGCATTGCAATGAGTGTGCTGATGGGGGCCAACATTGCCAACGAAGTAGCTGATGAAAAGTTTTGTGAGACTACCATTGGTTAGTCTTAATTTATTGCATGGAATAAGCTTGTTTTTCAGGCCTCGCCCTACTGCGTTTGTTACCGTCCACCCCATAACCACTACAAATGCCAGAATGCACCACAGCTGCTGTAGCATATACTGTGTGTGGTTGTCAAAATCAGATTGAAGCGCTATTTCATGACAAATCAGAAGGCATGCAGATTTAGGTCAATGTATTTTTATTGCATTTGTGTTTTTCCGTACCACCTATATTTTAGAGAGAGGCACTGCATAGGGCTGAATCAATACCTGCTGGTTCAAGGTTAATTTCTCTGTATGCTTGCTTTGGAATTGACTTCAATTTGGAATGTCTTTCAGAGTTGGAGAGTATTTGAAGGAGACTATCCCTAACAGCCTCTGGCTAAAGTTTTACAGCAGCTCTGTTCCAAGAGACACAAAACAGGGAGCTCTGTAAAACATTTAAAGTAACATGAAGAACGTGTTCTTGCCACTGTAGGTTCTAAATTAAGCTTGTTGTCTTTTCGGTACAGGTTATTGTAAAATGTGCCTTTTATTTCCTTGTTTAAATGAGACAGGGTGAGACAGACGGGGGTGGTTTGGCCTCGCATCCCGCAGTTTTTGTAACATTTAAGACAGCCTGTGGCTGTGTTTTAAGCCACCCCATAGCTGAGGAGAACCTTAGTAACTCTGGTGATACTGTTGAGAAAATTGCTTCAAGAGAAAAAAAAACAAAAGATGTCGGCACAAAGGTTATCATGCATCATTTACAAAAAGAAATGAATAAGTGCTTATGGCTGGGTTTTCATCTTCCAGGATGCAAGAACGAAAACCATGGGGCTCTTCTAAAGGAACTCATGCAGACCAGCAACTTCCGTGTGACTGTGGTGCCAGAGCATGATGTGGTGGAAATCTGTGGAGCGTTAAAGGTGAGCATGAATAAAGCCATTGACTACCAAAAATGTGCCTTTTTAACTTGTATTCATTGTTTATGTGGGCTTTATGGGGTAATATTTTTACATGCAGCATCATCGAGCTAGATAATTGTCACAGAAAATGGCAATGGCTTGTTTAGACAAACTTTGATGGCCAGTGACTGTGATGCTAAAATGTACCCATAATACCATTAGATCTTATTCAAAGTCATTCCTTTGTTCCAGCAGACTCTGAAATGGTCTGTTTGCTTCATTCGCCTATGAATTCATGAGATAGTATTGGTATATTGTGCAATATTGATGAGAGAAGCTGAATTTCATGGAAATAGCTTTTCTTCTCTCCATGTCCTACAGAACATCGTTGCCGTCGGGGCAGGTTTCTGTGATGGTCTGGGTTTCGGGGACAACACCAAAGCGGCAGTGATCCGGTTGGGACTAATGGAGATGATCGCATTTGCCCGCATTTTCTGCACTGCCGGGCCTGTGTCCTCTGCAACCTTCCTGGAAAGCTGCGGCGTTGCGGATCTCATCACAACCTGCTACGGTGGCCGTAATCGCAAGGTCGCCGAGGCCTTTGCAAAGACGGGAAAGGTGAGTGGGAGGAACACTCCTCAAGTGTGTGACCCTCTCTGAATTTTTAATAAGATGTCACTGTCATGTTCTCTCTCTTGGTCAGTCTATTGAGGAGCTGGAGAAAGAGATGCTGAACGGTCAAAAGCTGCAAGGACCAGCCACTGCAGCTGAGGTCTATCTCATCCTCAAGCACAAAAACTTGGTTGACAAGTAAGCCAAGCATCAAAACACACAGCCCAACTTGGGGGAACCAAATGGTGTCAGTCCACCTAATTTTTCCACTGACCGCAAACTGTTTCCTCCCCCAGGTTCCCACTATTCAATGCAGTCTATCAGATCTGCTACCAGGGCCATCCAGTCACAGAGTTTATCAGCTGCTTACAAAACCATCCAGAGCACATGTAAAAGTCAAACAAACTGACCAAGTGCCTTCTACATGGAGAACGTTACCACGTCATCCGTTACTCATCCGAAAACTTGCTGTGACCAGTCACTTTACAGCTGTGACCCAACACAGTGGCCCTCGTGATCACTCCATGGAGACGCTGCATAACAGTTGTTTTTAAGTCACTCATTTTGTCCTTCACCGTAGGTTAAAGTGCTTTTTCAGTTCATGAAACCATGCTGAAGCTTGATAGATGATTTTTTTTCTCTGTTTCGCGATGTTTTCTTCTTGCTTGTGTCGTGATGCCAGAGGAGAAATCAGGATCTCTAAATGTCATACTTGACTCCCGCCACTAGGAGGCTGTCAACAGTGACTCGACTGGATTTAGTATGACTGCCCTTCACATAACATTGTATAATGTTTGTGGGGGCATGAAAAGCACGAATTCAAATTCGAATATCCAGCAGATATGGACAACGTAATAATGATGCCGTCCAGTTGATACCTGTCCATTAACGGAAGCTATTTGATCAGAATGTAACCCATGTCTTAGTAGCTTTTAGTGTCCGCAAATCATTTCTTGTCTTGTACGTTGTATTGATAACGCACAGCAACTGTTTTTACTCAACGCAAGTGCCTTAGAATGCACGGTTGCTACTCTAAGTCTTGGCTAATGCACCTAATCGTGCAAACCCAATACTTCTGAAATGTCCGTCCACTTGTTCACGTAACTGCCTAAGAGCTTGCATTTTTTAATGCTATGTCAACATTTGTCATTTGTGAATAAATTGCTATGTTGACATTGGTGGAATAATTGTTGTGCCCACAGAAAAAGTTTCACGGCATTTCATAAAGGTAGAAAGAAAAAAAAAAGGGGGGTTCATAACATTTCTTGATTTGAAACATAATTAATGTTTTTCCATGTAAGAGGTAATTGTGTTTAAAATCTCCATCAGTAAACGCAATGCATTGTGTGTAGCAAACGTTTCGTCAGATGAGTCGCTGCAGAAAGCCTAACTGTGGTTGTTCTAACTGGTCCTCCTGCGTTAACATTCCCTCTGTACACCTTCGAAAGCAATGGCTTTTCACTCTACATTTTCTTCGAGCTGATGTCACAGTTGACTGTACGCTGTCGAGACGACCGAAATAACGGAGCAAGATGCTCAGTTTCCTAGCTCATGAAGATTTGAGTTTGGCTTACTGTTGACCTGCGTTAACATACCCAGCGTATCTAACAAGTAGTGATAAGAGTACAATAATATTTTACCCAAGTTAGAGCTACTCTCAGCACCAAAGCAGGAAATCTGGTGGTTAAAATACTTGCATGTTTCGTTAAAAGAAAATCTCTGGAATTATTTAGGGAAAAAAAATTGATACAAAAGGTGTGTAGCAAATGCTGCAGTAAGTTTACAATGGATATTTCTATCTGGAACTACAATATAGCGCTTGAATAAAACTTCTACCGTGAAACGTATTCATAAAGAAGCAAAAGTAGTTTTATTACGTATGTAGATATAGTAGTATTGCTAGCATTACATGACTGTGCAGAACAGAGCAGTACACAGTTGGTCATTACAAGGACATTCAAAGATGTGGAAACCTGCTTCGCTTTTCTACATCTAAAATATGGAATGAACTTGAATAAGTCTGAACATGTAAACAAAAGGGAATGCAATCAGAGGGAGGCTAGTTGAGAGCGCTTGCCTTCTCACCTGAGAGGACACTTAAGACTATTCCAATAAAAATGCTGCAAAGAAACTATCAGCATCCTCCCGTGTGTCTATTTGCAGGAGGCAATCTTCTGATCACAGGGAGAGAAGGTGGAGAAAAAAAAGAATGGAATCAAAGCTTTGTGGTGATACAATCATAACAATGACTTTTGCTTGTGCACAGAACTTCATGCGGTAATGTTTTACATTACCATCTTTTTGGTAAAGTTTGAGACTGCTGAATGTGACAGTTGACGAGCTAGGGAGCCAGTTTATCAGACTTATGTGTTTAAAAAAAAAAAAAAAACATTTGGTTTTAATTTGTTTTGTTCCCAAAATAAGTTACCTGTTCCCCACAACCAACCAGATAGTGGGATAAAGTCATGATGCCAGCTTGGGTAAATTCCTCACTCTTTTGAACACCTGATACAGTGGCTCAGACAAATAACCTATTTTCCTGAGATATAATAACTTGAGCCACAGTATAGAAAAACATCACTCTGTAAAAGCATGTTGGGACACGGTGTGGCTCAAATGTGGCACACCCCTCAAACTATCCTACCAACCTAATTACTCCCTAAACTCTGCATAGCTCAAAGTTTGTTGGGGTTCACCCATACATAAGTGCCTTCATAGCGGAATCCAACTCTCTTCACAAGGTCATCTGCTTCTGCTGGGCCCCGGCTAGAAGGAGGAGGGGGGGACTGTCAAAATGTGTTTGTGATGTTTACTTCCAATTGAGGATATAAACAATGTCACTAACCTTCCATATGTGTAAGGAATCGGTTTTGGCTTCTCTTTGTCAATTTGGTGAAGGAGCGGAGTGAAGATCCTCCAGGCTTCCTTTAATTCATCACTGTAGAAACATGACAAGCTTTTAATTTTGTACCATTTTTAAGGTTCATTAACTGCTTGGGTAGGCACCGTTAATCCTACCTAACAGATCCAACAATAATTTTCAAGTGGCGACGGCTACAGACCTGCGTACAAAGTGCATCTGACTCCCACAGAAGACGTCCAGAATGAGACGCTCATAAGCATCAGGTAGCTTCACATCCTACAAAAAAAAAAAACAAGGATGATTATGTGTTGACAGGTCGAACCCCTATTTATAATGTGTGCTAGCCTTCCATGCAGCCCAATGAATGTCGAGAACGCATGCCTTATATCTGCTCTTGTAAGTGAGGTCCAGCTCTGTCTCCTCAGGGCTGAAATACACGCCAGGTTTCTTGCTCATCATCTTGGCGTAGACGGCTTCATTGGGTTGCACACGGACCACCAGCTCATTGCGGCGACACTGATTTCCAAAAATGTCCCCCGGTACATCTGTGAATTGCAGCCGAACCTCGGCCTTCCTCTCGTTTAGAGCTTTTCCGCAGCGAAGGATGAAAGGAACGCCTGAGGAGGTAGCAAATGTTGCAACTTAGATCCGATTAAGTGCAAGCAACAGATTTGGTGTTGTGGAGGTTTTCCGAAGGGCGACCCAACTTTACCATCCCAGCGCTCATTGTGCACATAGAGCACTGCTGTGGCAAAAGTGGACTGAGTGGATCCTTTGGGAACTGTGGGATCATCGAGATAACCGAACTTGGCATCTCCTTCGCCCTCTGGGTCACCCACATACTGACCCAGCACCACATCTGACATTAAAATTGGGTTGATGCATTTCAGCACTTTGACCTTCAAGAAGAAAAACACATCAAAAGAGTAATTCATGAAATCCCATTTTGTAGCGATAAGAAAGAGCATTGTACCTTTTCGTCCCTGACATCATCAGAGCTGGTGGAGGCTGGTTTCTCCATGGCAACCAAAGACAGCAACTGGAGCAAGTGGTTCTGCATGACATCTCTAATCAGGAAAAAGGACAGGAGATCACAGAAAGGAAGCTGCAACGCCTGCCCCGCTGCACGTGATCACGCTGATTAAGACAGCTGATCATGTGGCCGAATCAAGTCTTCTCCTCCTGGTCAACAGCATTTAACTGCAGCGTAATTCCAATTTTGGCCACTCACCGGATGATTCCAAAGTCATCGAAGTAGCCTCCTCTTCCCTGAGTGCCAAAAGGTTCTTTAAATGTCAGGACCACACAGGCCACGCTGTCCCTATTCCAGATTGGGCCAAAGATACGGTTTCCAAATCTGTAACCACAGCAAGTTGAGTGTCCTTCAGCGGCACAACAGACGAAAACACAGCTGTTCGTGACAACAAGCTTCTTTTGTTGAATGACCATGTTTGGTTTCTTGTATGATATTGGCAGGGACCTCAACCCTGAGTCAGCTGAAAGAGAAGCATTTGAAAGTAATTCCTTAATTGAAGAACAGATACACATGATCACAAATTCTGCCAGATCTAAATAGCTCCTTTACACAGTATGCCTATTGCCATCATTTAGGACATAAGACACAGTTCCGATTCTGAAAGGTACTGATTTAACAGTTTATTACTGTGGTTATCGTTTGCAGTGATGGATCATTCGAGGCCAAATCACCCCCCCCCCCAAAAAAAAAAATCTGGAAAATTTAACCAAGCGCATTTTGATTTGAATGAAACTTGCTTTACTTGTTAATAGTGATGGCACAACACTAAATCTCAAATTTTAGATCAATCTGAGCAGGGGTGTGCGAGCTACCAAATTTGAAGATGTTCGGCAAAAAGGGGCTTTGGCAGCCTTCCATCTCAAGAACTATTGGGTCAATCTTCACAAAACAGGTATTGTTGGAAACAGAATTTTACAAGGATTCCAAATGCACAATCATTTAAAAGATTGGTGCATATATGACCTAAGCCTGTTGACCCTGAGTTTGACCATGAAATTGCACTTGTGGATCAGATGACCCGAACAATTTTTTTTTCCATGAAATGTAATTTCTCAAATCTTCTCTGAAACATACAAATGATTTAAGATATGTACAAAAACAATCATCAAAATTAAAATTGGATTGGTTAAACCCACTGGATGATTTGGCACGGAAAGACCCTAATGTAGGACTGTATTGCTTTTCAGCTATTTTGGTGACCTCAATTAGTTATGTAACAGAGTCATATACTATATTAGGACCCACTCAACAAGCTAGCACAATTCTACCACAGACACCATCCTGAGAGCGTAAATCAAAACAGAAAATAGATAAGGCACAATATTTCATCCAGCTATTGTGTTGGTTTGATGCAAGGGAGCATTCCGTTTTGGTGCAACGTCCGGTTTACAGTTTTTGCATATCTCATGGTGTATTATCTCCAAAAGTGTGTGTGACAGTCCCTAATTAAAGAGTTTTCAAGTATACACAAATCCCTGTTTTTTTTTTTTTTGGTTCTTTTTTTTTAACTTCTTACCTAAGCACCATAAGGTTCTGAACCATTTCTTTGCCTAGATAGTGATCTATACGATAGATCTGGTCTTCTGAGAAGAGGGAAGAGAGGTGAGCAGACAGCTCTTCAGAGCTCTGAAGGTCATGTCCAAACGGCTTCTCTACAATCACTCGGGTCCAGCCTCTGCAAAGAACAGAAGGGGCATCATTGCAAGTCATCATTCACATCCAAGCCAAGACCTGAGCTTCTAGCATACTGTACAGTATATGAAAGCAGGTCGGCTACCGCCTGCTTGCGAAACTTTTCTTCAAAACATCCATCCATACACTAGCGCACGGCAAGCGATATGGGGAAAAAAGCGTCGACTGACATTTTACTCATACAGTGCTGCTTTATGTTCTTGGTAACATCGTGGTAGACTGTGGGCGGCAGAGCCAAGTAGAAGAGCCGGTTTGCCTCCGATCCTCCCGGCAGAGTGAGAAGGTGTTTATTGAGATTGGAGAAGGAATCATCATCTGCATATTTGCCACTTATGTATGAGTTCCTGCTGAAGAAGACTGACAACCGATCTGCTTCAGAGTCTGCCACCTAGGTCAGGAGATGAACAAGGGGGGGGTGATACCAGTTAATCACAGGCAGGGGACTTGCAAAGTGTTGAAAGAGCACTACTACCTTGAGGTATGGCATGCACGCAGTTCTGATAGCGTCAACTGTCAGGTCAGAGCGAGCAAAGCCAATAAAAAATGTTTTTTCTGGGAGGAGACCGTCTCTGAACAACCACCTGGAAGAGAACTTTCAGAAGTGACTCAGTACCTCTAGAAGTACTCGTCAACAGTGGAATAGTACATGGCATCACTATTTGCAATATAAATACATGTGAGGAATTTTTCAAGCTCAGAAGTTGACTTACCACAGAGTTGGGTAGATTTTCTTCTTGGCCAGATCACCCTGCAGGTCCAAACACAGGTAGATTTTAAAATATTGTACAGGTTCCCTGCAAACTTATTTAAGTCACCCTGCTGAACAAAATAATGACTTGCAACAACACAACGCAACAGCAAACAGCTCTTCAATGCCCAAAAAGGAAAACAGGTGACAAAACAAATTCTTTTAAGCAAAGAGGAAATTGCTGAAAGTGGGTAGAATAATACTTAACGACTTCAGTGTCAATGAAAGGTTGATGCTGAAAACGATGAATTGCACACTATTGATGTCAACTCAACATATCCAACATAAGCGTTGCATCAAATCCAAAAATAATTGAAATATTGTGTTGAAGGGCAACTGAAACGCCGAACAGGAATCAGTGGTACTGAAAATAAATAAATGGATGGTGATGCCAGAATTTTGCTTGATGCATGCCATTAAATTAGATACAGCAGCTGTTCCATTGATCTGCCATTGTAGCGACCTGAAAGTATTTTGCTGACAGCCATTGACATGTCAAAAACACCACACCTCAATCAAGTGCAAACAAAGCAAGAGAAATGATATGCATATGTACTGGGTGTGCACCGACAGACTAATTGCTCATTTGACTGCATGAATCTTGACAGTGTCGGAAAAAAAAATGACGAGCCAAGTTTCATTTCATAGCGTCACAACCTCAGTTAAATCCACTTCCTCATCTTCCTCTTGTGGCCAGCAGGTGGCAGCAGTTTTTACAATTCTGTCATATTGTACTCAAATCCAACACTCAGACAGCAGTTCCATTTGGAGTTCAACTCATACTGGCTGGAAAAATGTGCTTCCAAAGCTAAACAAAACTTAAGAGTTCACCCATGATGATGTTGACATCACATAAATTG